GGAAATTAAACTCGATTGCTAACTATGTAGGACATGAGATTTCCTTTTGGAGAATATGAGATTAAGAATTTGAAATTACAGTTTTAACTCCGTACTCTTGTTTATACTATGTATGTATGAAATTGCAGTTTGAAATTAAACTTGTTTCTAAGAGTTTGAAATTACATAGAACATGAGATTTTCTTTTGGACAATAGTGATAAAGGAATTAAAAGTTTGTATTTGTTCCTTAACCTTTTGGTACGATGATGTTGTGGAATGAACAATAGCCTAATTATAAAGTTATTCATTTTTATTTTGGTTGTTTTAGGATCAGTTAGAGAGGATAAGCTTTCTTGTGTTTTGTATCACAATGAAATTGTTGTCATTGTCCTGTGAAATAATATTTTCCTATGTGGAGTTTTGATCAACATTAAATAATTTTTGAATGTTGCAAAGACATTAATATGTTAGTATTAATGCTGTCATGATAATGCTAGCTGTTTGGTAGACCCGACTTAATGATTGCCGCGCATGAGATCGCACGAGATCGCACAAGACCACTTCGATTATGAGTCGGGGGATGCGAACATAGTAGCTTTCTTTGTACCATCTTGATTCAAATATCCCAACAACTAATTAGTTGTGGAGAAATTGTGTCGCTAGTTTGTTGACAATGATTGAGATAAGTTTCATTAAAAAGCTGCAATCAGTGATGGTTGTTGTGAATTTACAGTAGATTACTGCCTTTGACAAAGTTCAAACTTTTTATTGTTATTTTTTAATAATTTTTGGTGGTATTAATATATTGAGAGCCATGAATTAGTAACCCAATTGTTAATGCAACCTGTTCTATTATTCCTAAACCATGGGTCTCCAATTAATGCATATGTTTGGTTATATTTGGGTGGTAATGGGCTGCCAAAGAAAAAGTTCTTGCAACTTTTTATTTCTCCCTCTCTCTCTGCTCAAATAAATTGTGCACAATTTTAGTTTGGGTATCATTTTAGTTTTCCCTTATTTTGAAGTTGTCCCTTAAACTTAACGTGATCAAGAAAGAAATCCCAAGTTATAGCTTATTTATTTATATGAAATTGAGTCCAATATGTTGGGGTGTTTTTTTTTTGTTTTTGTTTTAATTGATTATGGCATGTTTAGAAAAAAATAACTAGATTTTGCATAACTTGGACTTTTTTCCCAAGTCCTAGATTTGAAATAGTTGTCAACTAACATAAAAAATCTTAGTATCTTTACAGAATATCCACCGAGGTTGCACACGAAAATTGTAGGGTTAGCCATTTTTTATATGTTTTTTATTATATAGATTATCTTATTTGTATTCTGAATAGATTTGAAATAGTTGTCAACTAATATAAAAAATCTTAGTATCTTTGCAGAATTTCCACCAAGGCTGCTCACGAAAATTGCAGGGTAAGCTATTTTTTTTTATATGTTTTTATTATATAGATTATCTTAGATGTTTAGATTTTTATTTCTTCGCATCTTGATTGTAACGCATTAAGTATTTTCTATCCGTGACATTTAATTATTAAAATTAATTTTGAAAAAATTGCAAATGAGTGGTAAACTTGATCATTTAAAATATTAAAGTTGATAAGCTTTACCATTGATTTGCAATTTTTTTTGAAAACTTACAATGAATTGCAATTTTCCCATTAATTTTTAGATTTTATTATCGATTTTGCTATCAATGATTTTACTTCGAAAAGTGGAGTGATGAGTTAACTTTTTGCTATTCCTTTTAAATTTTCAGAGATGTGTAAGTGATTTGGAAAAAACCATTTGACTGCTATGTATGATTGCTACTTTTTGTACAAGTGATTTAGTATTTGATCAAAAATATTGTTGATTGCTCAATGACCCAACGTCTAGCTTTATATTGAACTGCCTAGGTATATTAATTGTTTCTTAACTTAATTAGTTATGTCTGAAAGTTTGTATAACACTTGCAGGTTTCTGATTGATGTTAGATTGTGTTGGGATACATTTTCTAAAACCTCATGTCACATTGTAGGCAAGTTAAATTCTTTTTTTCCCTATATTTTTTCTCACGTAATTTCAGGTTTATAATTGGCAAAGAACTATTACAATGTGATTTACAGCAATAATACTAGCAAGTGTGCATTGCTTAGTGTTTAAAATTAATTTTTTAAAATTGCATAGCACTAGTTAGTGTACATTTCAATTTTAATTTTTTGTAGATTATAGAGCACTGGCTCGTGTACATTATTTGGTATTTAATTTTAATTTGATTTTTTTTTTTGGTAATTGTAAAACACTGGCTATTGTGCATTGTCTGGTGTAATTTTTTTTTTGGATTATAGAGTGTTAATAAATGTACAATATCTTTGGTTTGTGTGTTTTATTTTGTGTTTGTAATTTTTTTCTCTTAACTTGCTTAGCAAGAATGCTTTTATTTTTAATTTTTGTGTTGATATGAAGTTTATACTTTAGAGTCATAAAGTTTGTTAATAAAACTAAAATATTTATGATTGAATTACTTGTCGTACTTTAAATTGTTGATTAGGAGATGTTTATTTTCAAAATATACAACAAAAAATATTTTTAAGTTTTTTTAAAAAAAAATCTTTTCAAAATTAACCAAACCTTGATTCATATTTTGACTTTAAATTTATAGCAACAAATGAGATAAATTATATTTTAACCCAACAATTGTGTATTCAATTATATTTTAATTTCATCATTATTTACATTGTACCTTTAGATATGAACATACACTAATATATATATATATATATATATATATATATATTATACATATATAAATATATAGGGCGGGACTTAAAAAAAATTCTCTATCCCTACACTCTAGTAGTAGAACTAATAAGTAAGGTTCACTCACTCACTATAATGTGAACAAGTTGACACATCCCTACTCATAAGTGGCTGAACAAAATTCTCAATTCTCAACAGTGGTATTATATATACCAATTAATATATTAACTAGTGTTATGGTATTATTATTAATCCTATCCATTATACAAATTATAAATATCCAAAACCTCTAAAATTATGACACATTATCTCTTAATACACTAATTGATATATATAGCATTATTCTTAAAACAAAGATTAATTACACCAATTTTTTTTAAAATTATCAGTGTCTATCAACTTATCCTTCTTATAATTGGTACATTTTAATCTTCTCAACTATCAAAACTCTACAAATGTCTTTCTTCTAAAAGAGGAAAAAATATCACCTTATTTGGTTCTAATTTTTTAGATTCAATTTTTTAAAAATTGAATTTTTTGTTTTTCGTATTTTTTTTTAATTTTTATTGATTTTTTTAATATTTTATGATTTTTTTTTTTACTTTGTACATATATTTAATATAAATATAATTAAAATATATAATATTTTTGAATTTTTTAAAAAAAATTTACTAAATACAAAAATTAAAAAAATTCAGTATATTTTTATATTATTGTATATTATTGATTTTTTTTAAAAAAAATTAATTTTTAGGTATATCTAAGTTAAGTGTATCTAAAAAGTAAAAAATGTACTTAAAATAAAAAATTACTAAAAAAAATATGAAAAACAAAAAATTCAATTTTAAAAAAATTGAAACCAAACAATATATTTTTATAGTTGAAAAATTCAAAATATACGAATTCAAAAATATAAAAAATACATTAATATTTATTAATAATTAACAGAGTGTTAAAGTAATTAACACCTTAGTGAGATGGGCATGGCTTCAACTGGAGGCATTGCTGTCTTTAGCCGAAAGTGATAGGTCATCATGAGAATGTGTGGTTCAATATATCTAAAATAAAATTTTCAATTTCAACGAAAGGATTTGCATTGCGCAATATATTTTGGATAAATCTTAAATGTGCAAGTATATATTATATCTATTCACGTAAAGTTTTATAAATATATTTATTTATATTATATATGTAAAGTGAATATTATCTGATGGTGTCCGAAAGCATTAATTGAGTCTCCAATTTAGCACTTTAAAGTTGAGATAGAACACTTTTATTACCACTAAAGTAACACACAAGAGGCAATAATTTTTTTTTTATTTTGATTTTATTTATTTAAATTGTACATGCTTGTAGTAACTAGTATATATAAAGAAAAGATAAATTACAAAAAGCCAACTGGCTATGCTTGACATACAAACAGCCACACAAATTTATGAGAGAGGTTTTTTGCTATGAATTTTTGTTATTTTTGTCACCTCCTCTGTGCATCACATACAAACTGTGTGCTCATAGCTTTTGTCTAATAGGCAAAAAAAAAAAAGAAAAAAAAGAAAAAAAAAAGAGGAGAAAAGAAAAAAAGTATTCAGTAATAATCTATGCTTAGGTTACACTTATATGCTTATTCCATGGTTTTCCTTTGTATTAATGAGTCTCTAAATTATTTATTTTTAAACCATTAATTACATCCATTTCAACTTAATATAATTCAATTTTTCATTGGTAATTTTTCAAATCATCAAATTGTCAAAAAAAATTAAGATGTAAAATTGTGAATGCCTTATAAGTTGAAGTACGGGTACGGGTATGAGTATTAGTACTGATATGATACGAGTACGTCGATACGCTAAAATCTCAAAAAAGTAGAGTACGGATACAACTTGATACGTTTGTAAAAAAATATTTATTTTTAATTTGGAATTATTCAAAAATTGATTAAATGGTTTAACTTATTAAGATCTAACCTACAATTATCATTTAATGCAAAAAATAAATATATAAATTAAAATTTAATGTCATTATATTAAATAACTTACAATCCATAGCTTAATTTTAAAATCATACTAAGTACAAAAACTAAAAATAAAAAAAGAAGTCTAGTAAAAAGAATTTTATCTCTATAGTAGAAGAAAATATTATTTTGACTGAAATACGATACAAAGTATGATACACTGATAAATACCCAATACGAATATGCCATATTTTTCAAAATATCCTAATTCATAGCTTATAAGCATGTATACATGCACCTCTTAGACAACATTGTAAAGCAAAGAAAACAGTTCTATTGCAATTTTTAAAGATTGAAAAACCAAACACACGTACAAAATTCCCATTGGTCACAAGAATTATGATACATGAGGCAAAGTCAAAGTCACACGTAAAAGAATGGGGTTCAAGAAGAAACAGTTCCAAAAAACACAGCAATAAAAATAAAAATAAAAATAAAATGGAAAACAAGAATGACAAACAGATGTTTGATTGCATTAATTAGCCAGTACCACCAAGAACAGCCTTGAGCTTCTTCACCTCAGCATCATCAAGAAATGTTGTCTTCTCCACCAATGGCGATGGCAAGTTGTTTGCAAACAACGCGAAATCGAGGATTTGGAGGCCGGGATTAGGGCTACCGAAGGTAGGAAAAGCAATGGCTGGTATGCCACCACCATTCACTTGAAAATGCAACAACCCTTGAGGGAACACCATAACATCACCCTTTTTAAGCTTCTTAACATAAACCGCATTACTTGAATCCACGAACCCCGCAACGATGAACCCTTGCACGACAAGCAAGAGTTCAGATGCTCCGGGGTGAGTGTGCATCGGTATCACACCGCCCGGTGCTAGGTCTAGTCGGGCAATGGACAGACCGAGGCCATTCACCCCAGGAAACTGGGCATCGAATGCTGGAGTCACAGCGGCTTTGATGATGTTTGAAGTGTTCGCGGCCATGCCTAGGCCGGTGAACACGAAATCATCGACGGTGACTTTGGCAGGCTTTTTGCAGGAGTAGCCTGCAGGGCCTTGGGGAAGCTTTGGGTCCGCAACGCAGAAGTCGAGGACAGAAGCATGACAGGAGGAGAGGAGGAGAGAAAAGAGGAAGAAGAAGAGAGTGTGGAGCATTTTTGCTAGCATGAATTGGTTTGGTGTGTGAGGCTCATTTTTGGCTAAAGGGTTTGGATAGGGTTTATATGGAATGTTGAGAGGTGAGGTGGTACCTAAATGGTTATGGTGCCCACTTGAAGGTAAGGTCCTTGCATAGTGAATTGAATGAATGAGAACCACAAGCTTTGTGTTGGAATTGACGAAAACGGAAATGGAATATAAAATGTGACTAGAGATAAAATGTATATATCAATTGATAAACTTTAAAAAATGGACCTTAATAATTTTTGTAAAATTTTATATATTCAAGTGTATTTTTATATTTGATTCGGTAATCGATTTTTGTATTTAAAACAAAATTATTATTGTTAGAAAAATGATATATAAATATACTTTTTATATTTATTTTCTAAGTCTAATGATGTGTAAGTGATATGATTAGTTGATAATTATGAAAAATATAAAAAATAATTTTATTTTAAATATTCTAATTGATTGTTATATTATTAAATTTAAAAATTAAATCTAATTTTTAAACATAAATAGCAATGATGTTAGAATTATTAGCCATTCTTCTTGAATGGGACGAAAAAACGAAGAAGCCACTTTTTGTTGGGAATATTTCATAAAGTGGAGGAGCCACTAGCTCTTGACAATCTTTTTGTTTTTATTTTTATTTTTTATGTGGTAAGTATTTCTTTCGCAATCTTGACATCTAGACTAACAATGACAAGAACGAGCGCAAGTTGATTAGTATATGGCGAGGAATGAATTTGGATTGCACATATAGTTTTAGGTATATGTTTTTTCGGTACAAACCTCAAAATCCCAATCCTCATGATTAAAATCCAAACCATTGACCGTAACAAGTTCATGACTGAAGGAAAAATACGGGTAATCATATTATTTGATACGGAAATACTTTGGATCACATGTTTTAATTATGAGCTCTTCAGGAAAATTTCCGTCAATTGAAAAGTTATTAAAGTTTCTTAATATTTATCCACACTCAAATTTCTAGGTTTTTAAATGGTAACCTCAAGATAAATGAATAGAAAGAGAAGATCTTAGCTTATGTTTTTGTGTCTTCATAATGTTGAGCATGAGCCCTTATATAGGCATATATGGCAAGATTATGTGTACCTCATGGTTAGGCCACACTACATGTACTACATGTCTAAAACTATGTGTCCCTCATAATTTCCAAGACCATGTGTCCCTTTTGATTAGGCCATGTGTGAATGAACCATGTGTACCATGTAGCCTTCAAAATTAGGTCACACCATGTATACTATGAGGGCACACCATGTATATTTACCACATGATTTCAAACAATGACAAAATCAAGAAAGTAAACAAAAAAAAAAAAAAAAAAAACTATCCTAATAATAACTAAATTAAAAAAAAAAAAAAAAAAAAAAAAAAAAACTATCCTAATAATAACTAAATTAGATTCTAGAATTGCCAAAAGATAGAGAGCATATACATGAGATCAAACTTAAACATCAACACAAACATTTGTGCTATTGGGAGCATTTAATTCATCCATATTCCTTTAGAGAGGTGACATACCATGATATTCCTAATGTAACACAGTTCACAAGTTAAGTCGAGACGAGTAGTATCATCAAAAATTTAACAAGTTTTAAAATTTATCTAAACTTAATTATAATTTATTCCTCAAAATTGATTTCAAACGAGTTTTATAATCATGAGCTGAGCTGGAGTAGAGTCAAGTAATAAATTATTCTAAACTTAATTTAAAATTTTAACGAGTTTTAAAATATATTCTAACTTTACATGTTTACATAATAAATCAATTTTATATGACCTATTAATAAAGTGAACACAAGTAAAACTTGAGCAACTTGATTTAGCTCTATTTGTTTTACTAAACTCAAATTTTGGTGCTTGACAACTATTGTCATTGACTTGATGAACTTGTTGCTGGTGAATGCTAAGAGCTAAGAAACTGCCAGGGGGTAAATCACAGTATGAAGATTAGGGTTGCAAATGAATCGAACTGTTCATGAACAAGCTCGACTCGGCTCGGTTCGTTTAGTAAACGAGACGAGCTCGAACTCGCATAAGTTCGACTCGTCAAGTTCGCCTCATTTATCTTTATTTAAATTATATTATAAATATATTAATTATATATTAAATAATAGTATAAATATATTATTTATATATTAAATAATATAAATAATACTTTTTATTTAAATAATATAAATAATATTAAAAAAATTATCGTTCCGAACTCGAGTTTTATTAATATTAACGAGTCGAGCCGAGCCGAGTTCAAACCTAGTTTCTTATCAAGCCGAACTCGAGCTCAATAAACAAGCTCGATAAGTAAACGAGCCGAGTTTCAACTTAACAAAACTTGACTTGACTCGGTTCATTTGCAGCCATAACGAAGATTCTGGTCCAGAGCACATGGGAAGTGAGAAAAGGAAGAGCATAAGAAGACAGTTTTTGCCAGCTAGAAGAAGCCCCAAAAGGTTATCTATGCAAGTCTTGCTGTCCAGTAAGAAAATGAGTGGCCTTCATGAATTCCCTTCTTGCCAAGGTGATTCAGTTGATTGCTGGCTAAATCCATCCATCTGTTTGATTTATGAATTTAGATAAAAATTTATAAATTAATACAATATAAAAAATTTAAGTATGAAATTGATACAATTAAAATTATAAGGTTCAAATTAGAGGGATTACTACTGCGATTTATCCTTCTAAATAGGATGCAGTGTCACTGTTGTGCGGCTCGTGAGATTTATTTTGAGTCTTATTTTGATGATTTAAACCATTTAAATTTTAGGAAATATTGAGAACAATGTATCTTTAAAAATCAAGTTAATTGGATATCAATAATTTGTTTATCAAATTACATCTTTATATAAAATAAAATAAAAAATGTATGTATCAAACTAAATATAATGCGATTTGATAAAAAGGTTATTGATATCCGATCAACTTAATTTTTTACAGGTATATTGTTCTCAATATTTTCAAAAATTTGAACGATTCAAATCTTCAAAATAGGACTAAAATGAGTCGTACAGTAGTCACCGTTGTGCTTTATATACAACAGTGACACTGGATCCTTTTTAGAATGATGGACTCCCCATATGCCTATAACATTTATTTCATAAATACACATAGGAAGTAAAGTAAATGTGTGAAGTAAATGTGGTGATAAATAACAATTCTCATTAAATTTTTAAGCCTAATTTGAATAACTTAGGCTTGTTAAAAACTTGTTTGAGATTAGTTTATTAGGAAAATAAGTCAAGTTTGAGCCAACAAAGGCTTTGGCCCAGAGCCAGCACTTTGAGTCCCAAAAAATTGAATAAAAAAAAGGCCTCAATTTTTTTAGCTATCATACTAGTCCCAAAAAAAAAAAAAAAAAAAAAATCCACCTGAATTTCAAAAGCTCCAATCAATTTTGGTGAAAATTTAAAACTAATAATTAGTTGATGTGGTGAATTATTTAAAACAAATAGATTACTATTTTTATTGGCAAAAACTAAAAAGGCAATTGATATGGGGAATTATTTTAAATTAATGGATGGTTGTTTATCAAATACATGAATTTCTTATAGAACACGATTGATTATACTAGTTATATATATTTGTTTCTGGAAAAAAAGAAACTTTTTAAATTTAAAATTGATTGAATTTTACCTCGGTTAACTATGTCACAAGAAAGATTGAGTGTATTAATAATTTAATCAATTAAAAATGATTAGTTAATAAGTTGAATCATGTAGGTTTGATTAGCAATTTTGTAGTTAAAAATATGACAATGGTGATGTTTAAGTATACAATTTGTTCACTTTCTATTTAGTACTTCAGTTTGAATTATTTTAGTTTTTTTTTTAAATATTTATGATAAACTTTTTTTTATATACTTAAATAAATTTTAATAATCATATGTATGATCAAATTTAAATACATAATTTTTTTATCACAATTTTTTTTTTTTTTTTTTTTTTTATTTTTCACACACTATTGTAGGTTGTAATAATTTAGTAGTGTTAGATTAATACTTTAGGTTGATAATGCTATATTGACTTAAACCTAAGAACTTAACTCTCTAACACCAAAATACATGTCGTGATCACTTGAGCTACAGCCCAAATCCCTATCCTCAAAACCTAAATCAATTCAAACTTTGTGTCCTAATAATGAACTTGAGTCAATTATATGAATCAATTTTTTGTCATTTCGATCAAAATTTTCACCAAAAAAAAAAAATGCAAAATTCTGTTTAGTTTAAAAATGTCCAATTTATTAAATATTTAGTAATATTATATATAAATGGATTTCTTATTATATTTTTTTTACTAGGCAAAAAAAGCAGATAAAAAAATTATATATGTATGATATTAAACATACAAATGAAGAGAAATTTGAGTTAAGCTCTAATTTGAATATTAAAAACATGTCAAAACAAACAAAGCACTAGGTTTTGATTTTTGGGCCATTTTCAATAAATGTGGGTTTGAGCCTTCCTTGGGCTGTTTATAATTGAACATGGGTTTTTTCAAATTAAATTCAACAATGTTGATTTCAACAAACTCATTTTACTGTTTTGCTCTCCTATGATTAAAAAAATTCCAATTACTTTGAAGCCAATTGAGTCGCATCAATGATAGGGTAACACTTGAATCCAAGAAATATATACATACATTTTTTTTTTTTTTTAAACTAGTGTTCCAGCTCTTAAATCAGAATCAAGATCACATGCTCTTTTCTTTTTTTTTTTTTTTCCCCTTTCTTTGTTGTCATTGTACATTTTATGAGATTGCCTATATTAGTAAAATTGATATTATAAACTAATCAGAATTTAAGGAAAGACAGAAAGGTGCATGCAATCTATATTCATAGGGGAAAAAACTCAAGAATAATGTCATAGATTTTAAAAATTTTACTAAAATTTTTACAAAATGTTTCATATGGATGTAGAACTCACACTATGTAGGTCTCATGTAGGCAGGGGCGGAGGCAGCATGTGACCAGGGGGTCACGTGCCCCCCTGGATTTTGGATTTTTTTTTTTTTTTTTTTTCAATTCTTTTTGCAAACATAAAAAAAA